TGCTGTTTGGTGGAGTCCTTACCGGTTTCATCCTGTGAAAATCCACGTAATGCACTGGGCAATGCTGTTTCATAGGGGGAAATCTCTTTTTGACTATCATCTTTACTGTCTTTACCTTGGTCTGCAGCAGAAGGATCAATAGTTCTGGTAGTTATTACCCTTGCAAGTGGCCTGTCTTATTTATAGTCCTAACACAAACTCCAAAGAGTAGAGATCTACGTTAGAGGATGTAAAGCATAAATTTCAGATTAAAAAGGATGCAGGATAAAATTATTATCTGTCTGTAAATTAAAATGTAAAATTATTATTTTCCCCTCTTCTAATACTGCTACTATCTTCATCAGAGGTTTGGTAAGCTCAGGAATTTTGGAGTTAAGAAATCCAAGTGCAATGTGATAACAAACCTTCATCAGAGACCTCATTCTGCCCTGCGGTGACCAGCATGGGAAAGCAGAGGATCACAGTGCTGTGAGTACAAGTGAGAAGGCAAACAGGCTTTCTAGAGCTTTCTGGATAGATCTAAAGTGGTTAATCTGGGTGCCTCAAGAGAACTCCTGCAAGGTGTTGGCTTATCCATGAGGAAAGTGTGTCTTATTGTTATCATTCCTGGATTTCTCTCAGTGACTCTGAAGTTCTGTTATTTGGCATAGTGCAAAGGGACAGTCGGTGCCCCAACTGTGCAAAAAGAGCATTAAGTATCCTTGCATATGAACCAAGAATCCTGCTGCATTCATTTTTAGCATTGCAGAAGTGGTAGTTGGAAGGGAGCTCTGGAAGTTATCTAGCCCGTCCTTTCACTCAAAGCAGGCCTGCTGCCAACGCTGTCAGCTGTGACTTTGTCAAACCTACCATTTCTCCAGTGATCTGTTCCAGTGCTGCACTAATCTCTGGTGAAAACATCTTTCTTCATGTCAAGTCTGAACTCCACATGCTGCAATTGCAGCCATTGACCCAGGTTATATCTTCTGCCCCTGCCAAGAAAAGTCATGTTCCAACATCCTTGTAACTGCCTTTCAGCTATTCATAGGCAGTTCTTTAATCACTCCAACCTCTTTTTGGTCAGACTAAACAAGCCCAGCTCCCCCTGTCACTCTCACTGGGTCATGTGCTCCATACTCTGACTGATATGGTAGTTCTCCATTACACCCTCTCCAGTTGCTCCACATTCCTCTTCAACTAGGGATGATCAGACCAGATACAGCCCAAGCACAGCCTCGTAAATGTCATGAAGAATAAGGATTGTAAGTTACCTTGATCTACTAGCCATGCTCCTCCAGTATTCATTTACTGCTGCATACACAGTTCAACCAAAGAGAACTTAATTCCAAGAAAATTAGTATATAGCAATCAGCTCTATCGACCTGCTCTAGACAGAAGATTAAAAGCTCTTCCAAAGATCAAAGTTCAACTGCTTTTCATGTAAATAAATATATTTGCTTCAGATCCCTTTAGTATTGTAAAAACTTGAACCCAGTGCATCGTTGAAAGTAAAATCCGCAGCTGAAAATCCTTTCCCTTCAAAGAACAGCCAACTTTTGAGGCAACCTCATGTATTTACTTACTTTACATTTCCTGAGCATCTCTTTGGGATGTGATTGAGAGACCATGTTTGAAGAGCTAAAAATTAGAAGTCTAGTATGCACTGCACTGTAAAATCCTAGGAGAGGCAAAATTGTTGCATTATTCACAAGATAAATTAGGCAAGCTCAGAAACATGGTTACCTCACCTACACACATCACGATAACATGAGAAGCTGTTTCTTCAGCAGTCTCCAGCAATATTTCATAGGGCCTGGCAACTTTCTAGGAGTCAGGAACAGCATCTTTTTTTGATAGTTGAATGGTGTAGTGCAGGCCATGAGGATGATCAGGGGCTGGAGCACCTCCCGTATAAAGACAGGCTGGGCAAAAGGCTGTTCAGCCTGGAGAAGAGAAGCTGTGTGGAGATCTCATAGCAGCTTCCAGTATATGAAGGGGGCTACAAGGATGCTGGGGAGGGATTTTTCGTCAGCGACTGTAGCGACAGGACAAGGGGTGATGGGTTTAAACTTCAACAGGGGAAGTTCAGGTTATACATAAGGAAGAAGTTCTCCAATGTGAGGGTGCTGAGGCACTGGAACAGGGTGCCCAGAGAAGTGGTGAATGCTCCATCCCTGTCAGTGTTCAAGGCCAGGCTGGACAGAGCCTTGGCCAACATGGTCTAGTGTGAGATGTCCCTGCCTATAGCAGGGGGTTGGAACTAGATGGTGTTAAGATCCTTTCCAACCCAAACCATTCTCTGATTCTGTGACTGGCACATAGAAAATTACTCACCCAAAGTAACCCAATCTGACATGAAAACTCAAAGCTTTTAGCTCCTAGTACACTGCTTAAAATACTGTGCTATTTCTCACAGTTTCCCCAGGTCCAACTGTTGCAGTCATGGTTATTGACAAGCAGACCTACCCTTGCTGGGAACATTCCCACCTGGAGGCCCCAGCTCAGTGAACTCTAGATGAGGCTCAGCAGACATCCACTTAGCTGAGTATGCGAAGGTCTGCAGTTTTGTCTTCATCTGCCCTGATACCTTCATGTGTTACAACCTCTGTGAATGTCAAGCCTCACATACCAGGGGTATGCAATTGAAGGCATTCCGTAAATGGCAGGTGAGGAATTTGTTGTTGCATTGCAACAAATGGATTGATCAAAACTGCATTAAAGCTCAAAACTGCATTAAACTGCATAAGCTGAAAGAAGCATTAAGCTGCTTCTTTCAACCAGGTCATGGAAGGACAATTTCAATTATTTGAAAAGAGAATTGCTGGGCAGAAACAGCAATTGTCTTCTTGGAAACCAGATCTTGTTTCTGTTTTCTCTGTGATTTCACAGTTGGTTTTAGTGTTCATTTACATGTGGCATCAATCCCAATACTAATCACTTCCAACTTATTTGCAATTATCCTCGTGAACCCCTGATCCAGCATTTTCAGATTAAACCTCCAGTGCTTGGGTCGATTAGTTTCTCCCTCATTCTTCACCACACACCATGCTGCCTAGTTCTGTACTCTGATTACCTCTTAATTTCTGTATGTCTTCCACACCTGCCTCCTCAACCTCTCTTCCCCAGACCCGTCCTTCTTACCCACCCACCTCCTTCTACCCAAAGTGCTTCCTTGTCCTGACCTTTAGCAGATCTCTCACAGAATTATAAAGTAGTTGAGCTTGGATGGGATCTCTTGAGGCCATCTGGCTCCAACCCCTCCTGCTCAAGCAGGCCCACCTACAGCTGGTTGCCCAGGACCATGCCCAGAGAGTTTTTGAGTATCTCCAAGGATGGAGACCCCCACAACCTCTCTGGTGGACCTGCACTAGTGCTCAGTCACCCTCACAGTAAAAAAGCGTTCCCTGGTGTTCAGAGGGAACCTCCTGTGTTTCAGTTTGTGCCCACGGCCTCCTGTCAGTGGGCACCACTGAACAGAGCCTGGCTTTGTCTTCTTTGTACCCTCCCTTCAGGTGCATTATGTATATATATGTATGTGTGTGTGAATATATATATATATACATATATACATACACACTAATAAGATCTCCCCTCAGCCTTCTCTTCTGTCTCAGAAAGAGCTGTCTCAGTCTGTCCTCATAGGAAAGATCTTCTGGTCTTTTCACCATCTTTGTGGCCCTTCATTGGACTCTCCAGTTTGCCCATGCCTCTTCTGTGCTGAGGGGAAGGATAAATTTTATGATCACCTCCCTCATACCTCCCTTAATCTGCTGGCACTACTCTGTCTAACACAACCCAAGATACCATTTGTGCCCTTTGCAGCAAGGGCACATTACTGGCTCATTTTCAGCTTGGTGTTCACCAGGACCCCCAGGTTCTTTTCTGCACAGCTCCTTCCATCTGGGTCACTCCCAGTAGGTACTGGTGCATCATCGGGGAGTCCTGTCAGAGTTACTGCTCTGACTGCATCAGACTATAAACTGCAATTCCAGACCAAGGCTAAATCGATAATAGTAAATTGGAATATAGTATATTGGCATAAATAGAATAAATTGGAAAGTAACAACATTTGTCTTCCTTTGTTGGAACAAAATCTCTGGGTGGAAAAAAGATTTTTCCAGGTGTATGGAAATGCAACCTACTGTCCTACCCTTAATGTTCACTGTGGTTTTATGCTGTTCACCCTCTTAGCCTGTCTTTGCTCTATTTGAACTGAAAGCTCCTTGTAGCAAGGATTTGTCCACTGCTTCCCCTCTCTGCAGTTATGAAACTGCAGAGGGAGAATGAGAAATACGTTCTTGGTTGATTCAATAACAACACACAATTAACTGTGTTCCTTTAACTCCAGAACTCCAGCCTCTTGACTCGTTTGGTTGAAGCTGGCCTATAAAACATGGAGTGCAGCTGGTTCCTTCCAACAGAGAGAAGTAATGACATGGGCACACACCTTCGGTCCAATGCAGTACTAGCAGTTTATTTTCACTGCTGGATTTACAGAAGTTGTAGTCTCATTTCTTCTCTCCTACTCATACTACTGGAATGCAAAAGGAGATGCTGCCACTGGTAGAAGCCTGTTTATATGTTTCCAGCACTGGAAACCAGGCTTCATTTTCCTGGTCCTGCTAGCAGCAGACAATGGAGATGCAAGGAATGGAAATGAAATCTGATGCTCAGGAATGGAGGAAATGGCCAGCTCACTCTCAGAGATCTGAAGACCCAGCATCTTTTGTGACAAAACTTTTGTTTGCCCTTACAGGACACACAAGGCAAAGACTAGGCCAGGGAATACGTTACAGGTCTCATCTGGTCACAAATAGCAGTAAGCCAACACATGTGGACTGAGAATGGATCTACTACTGATGATAACTCACCGCTGTGGGCAGCAAACCTGTGCCTGCAAAACACCTTGTGAGGGTGAGGAAAGGGCAAGTCCTTGGTCTTGTGTAGACCTTTGGTTTGCAGGACAACGATCCACTTGTACCACTGAGGAGACAGTGATGAGATGAAAATGCACATGGGATTTATCTAAGAGATTTCTCACAGATCCATGGAGCAGCAAATTCACAGCTGGAGGCCCAGAAGTGATCTTTCATCAGGACAACACAATGTTGCACGGGGCTGTTAGAGAGGATGCTGCAAGAGACGTGGAACAAAAATGAGATGGAGAGAAAATGCTGAGATATCTCCTGGAGGCAAGAAAGAAACAACATCTGATTTTGAAGGGTGGAGCCCAGAGGAAGTGAAAGAACCCAACCTCCAAAGGACAGCTGTTAGAAAACAAAATGTACACCCAAAAAACCCTAAAACCCTGGAGATCACACATCTAAGTAATTTTGCCACTGTGGAACCCAAATCATAACGAAATATAAACATGATGCCCTGACAATGATATCCACCACCATGAGAATGGCAGTGCTAAGAGTTTCATGGGAAGATGATCACCTCCAAGGAGTCTGTAAGAACAGAAATCTGGATTTAAGAAGGGAACTAAACCAAGTTTTTAGAGTACCAACCTACTGACAGCGAGATCTTGTGAGAGTTTTCTCACTGGAGAAGTGTTAGAGACTGACTAGTTTCCTTTACTGCCACAAAAAGGAAAGGGCCAGGCAAAGTCACTGGACCAAATCATAATGTCTTTCCTCATGCAGAATGCTGAGTTTTGTCCAAGAATGAGCCAAAATTAAGGTTCTGACTTGGGTTGGCACCAGTAAAGCAGCAAAGGGCTGGGTCCTCACACCCAGTGACACCATCACTTGGCAGAATGGGTGCAAGGTGGCTAAATCCAGTTAAGCCGAGATGGACCATATGGTTTTCTGACTGAGTAACTGGGTGAGCAGTACAGGTAAATAATCACTGATCTGAGCAGCCAGAGGGAAGTAGAGAGTGAGATATTAATATTAGCCCTGCTTTTCGCATGCACATGCCTTTACAAGTTGCAGGGCAGTAAAAAGTAGACCCTTTTGAGTTCAGTGCCATACAGGTAACAATAAAATCTGCCCAGGAAGAAAGTTACTGAAATCTGGTGCAGGAACTCTGGGTATTTTGGAACACCAGGCAACCTGAATTAGCACTGTTGTTTTTAAAACACAATGAAACTCACTTGGTGCCATTGAATATAGAACCATCTTCCCAAATCCATCCAGAGCCTGTGGTGTTCCTCAGTCCAATCCAGAAACATTCTGTTTGAATACTCTTGAACAGCTCCTGGAAATGGTGATGAATTACAAAATGACTACTGAAAGACAGCCTGAAAACAGAGGTAAGGATAAGTAAATAGAACAGAGAGCAAGGTATATCCCCTTGCCTGACTATTCCATAAGTGACTGACAATACTGCTTCTCCACACCTTCTAATCGGGAAGATCAGCCCTGCAAATCATGACTGGAATAAAACCTATGCGTATGGCCACATGGAAGTAAGGGTGCTTTCAAGGGTCCTGGGCAGATTCTCCAAAGGCCATTTCTTAGGGCAATATATGTGAGCCAACTGAACCCCAGTTTCCCGGAGTATCTTACACTTTAGGTAGGAATATATACTATTAGCATTAATGCTTTACCATACAGCTAGCTAGCAAGCTAATAGAAAGTATTAACAATTAAAGGTAAAGTCAGGTCAGGGCAGGATGTGCAGGCACTGACAGATCTATGTAAAAAGCCCAGGACCAAAGCTCTTTAAATTTTACACAAACATGCCTCCTACGTGTTTTCAATATTCATTTCCTTTTGCCTAACCTTAACTCCTGCTTACTGTTAATAGGTGAAGCCTGCAATAGAAACTCAGCCCTGAAGTAAATCCCCTCCTTAAAAATAAAAAAAAAAGATAAAGACAAAGGAGACAACTTTGTCCAAATTTGCAAAGGAACCAAACAACAGTAACCCTTCAATGTATGGCTGGGCTCCATTCTTCCATCTTTATCTCCTGCTGCCATAAATAAAGCTTCAGAGCAAACATCTTTACACAGGAGCATTAACAAAGTGGTGAACTTCATAAAGTGGTGGGAATAGGAGTAGCTTGAGGAATGCTTGAGTGTTGCTGGTGGTTTGGAGGTGACTGCTTCCCTAACAAAAAGAGGCTGAACTAGCTAGGAGACTCTTGCTAACACAGGGAAGTCTGAGCAGGGACAATGGTAAACACTCTAGCAGCAGAGACAGTAGTAAGAAAGCTGCTGGACCAGGGAGGCTTTCTTCAGGCAGAGAAATGGGTAATGTGGGGAAGACAGGTATTTCCCAAGGAATCAGGATTTGCTTAAGCATGTGTGAGAGGCCGGTACATAGTCCCAGTTCAGCAGAAACATGGCTTTGTAAGCCCCCACAGAACATCATACAATGCAACTTCTGTCCAGGGGCTGGAAGCTGTCCACGTTCAGTGGACCTGAGCTAATAAGCTTTGGCTTGCACAGAAACAATCAAGTACTTCTGCTCTACTTAGGCAGATGTGCCTCACCTCCCTAGTGATCAGCTTTACCCGTTTCTTCTGTGGTCATACATGGCCCTACCCTCAGTGAGCACCACTAAAAAATGAGCAGTGGAACAGACGGTTTCTGATTCCACCAGCATAACAGTGCTTTTGGCAGAGAGGGGAAGTAAGCATTGAAAACAGACTGAGAAAGAAATATTTGTGCATGAACACAGCCAGTGGCAAGGGTCACTGAGCAGGAGGAGCTGGAGTGGTTCCAGGGAGGAGAGGCATCACTTTGGCAGAGGGAGGATCTCTGGAGAGTGGGGCTGTACTGGTTTGTAGGCAATGAGTACAGTGACTGCACAGTCTTTTCCTGTAATCATTCATAACACCCATGTTAGGGATAGGAGGGAGGTGGAGAGGGACGGTGGAGAAGGCTGTCTCCTAACATCCTTCATAGGATCATTTTGGGTAGCTGACAGTGACCATCATCTCTCCCTTCGTTTTGCTTCTTTGCCTGCTGGGAGCATCTAAGGTGTACACTGAAACTGGAAGTGTACTACAACATCACAGTCATAAATCCTTCCTCTCCTTTAAAGACAGAATATTGCTAGATTGACAGTACTGCTTGGATATCAATCACTGAGGTATCCGCAAGAAAATGGAAGGTCTTCAAAAAGTAAGAAAACCATTACCATTTCCCAAATATCACTGATCACCAGGAGATGAGCTCCCTGTGCCCGGCAGGACTGCCGGCTGGAATGCCAGTCCTTCTTCTGCTTGGAGAAGGAGTAGCAGCTCCCTCTGTAGGCAACCCACTGGTCAGGGCAGCGTGGCTGGGAGTTACCTGTAAAGGAATCCAAGTACCCGTTTTTCTCTACCGTTAAGCAACAGAAAGACACTTGTCAGCAAGGATCTGCTGAAAAGCAACTCTTCTGGATATCTGCAATGCAGAAAACACAAGTGAGGATAAGCATCTAAAAACAACAGCGTGTGAACACTGAACTTCAGATCCTCTGTGCAATTTCTAGGTATTTGTACAAGAGTCACATGCACTCTGACGCTGGTGCAACACTGCCCGCTTCCCCCGCCCCAACCCCACCGGCTTTCCTCTGAACTACTGAAGGTACCTGAGAACCAAAATGGTCTATCTGAAAGCAGGCAGCACTCTGGGTGTGCAAAAAGTAAGGGGAAAAATTTACATCATTCTGTGGGTACAGTGTGATCATGTCACACTCAGGCTGAACGGATTTTAAGCAGAAAACAGTAAGTTCTTCCACATGGTCTAGCACCTTCTGCATGCATGCAAAAGTGTTACAGATCTTGTATCTTCAACCTGCAGTACACCACTGTAATTGCTGCAGACAAGTCTACAGAAACCTTTCAGTTCCTTTCACTGTTCTTTGCAACAGGATCTGAAATGGGTTGCCCGGGGTCTGCACAAGGAATATATTCTTCACAATATTCTGGATAGGTAGTGGGTACTTAAGACTGGTAGGAACCTAGAATAGCTTCTGGTTTAACCCCATATAATGGAGTTCAGGATCTGAGCTCCTGCGTTTAGATGAATCTGTGGTCCTTGCTGATGGTTGCTTATACTCAGCACCCCTTTGTGCACTTACTTATCTTCCATATCAAAGCAATCGCTAGGGAGATGCTTAGTATCCCAAAGCCAATAGCCAAGCCTGGCACAACTTCTGGCCACAGACAGGGAGCTGTAAAAGAGAAAAGAAACCATAGCAAACAGGAGCAACATGAAAAGTGACAGTGGTTTTTCATAGTTTGCTTGTGTCCTGGGCATTTCTATAAGGAACCGAACTACTTACAGACTGCTGTCTGTCTACACTCTGCACATCGCTGCCATCACTGTCCCTGCCCACCTCCCTTGGACCTGCCCACACCCCTGCCCACCAGCCCAGGGCCCCATTTCAGCTGGGCTTGAAGCCATCATTCCTTGCCTGAGATTCCCAGGTTTGGTGTGTCTGCAGGTCAGCCACATCTCAGCCCCTGCCTGTTTTATTAAACTCAGTATGGGAGCTACAGACAACAGGACTTTCTAAGAAGCAATAAATGTGCAGCTAATGGTTACTGATGTTGAGGAACCAGGATTTCTCTGTGCTTCTCCCTTAAGCTTATCTACCACATCCTGTTCTTGTGGTGCTCCAAGGTCTTCTACCCAAGTACAGCAACAAAGTCCCTGGTGAAGCTTATGAAATCTGAGGTGCTTCTCTCTCGGTCATGTCACAAGACCCAAATAAACATATTTGCACTCCCAAAAAAGGCTAGGAGTCTAAGGAATAAGATGGATAAACAGGAAGGCTGTCTTTAACTAAAGACTACCACAGCAAGTACATTGAAAACTTGGCTGAAGAAGGGCTGTGAGCAGCATGCCATAGCAATAGGATATAAAATACACAGGGAAGACAGAGGGGGCTGTTCTCTCCTCAAGCCAAATTACAGTCAAATTAGGTTAAATAACTAACTGCATCAAGAATTAACAGTAACAGCATCCCACAGACCAGGCAAATACTGCTAAATGCACAGGGTTAGAATTATATTACGGGCTGCCAGACAAGGATGGTGACAGCACTCATGAACCAGAAAAAAAAAGCACAACTGAAAACCAAGAGAGCAACTGTGATGGAAGCCTGATGATGACAGATGTCAATTAGTCTTATTAAATTATGCAAATGCCATGTCAGGGCATGATGCTGAGACTAAATGCTTAGACATGATCAATAGGCACCTGACAGAGCGGCGAGCCAAGAACCACAGAAAGCAAAGCAGCTCGTGACTGCCCTGAGCCGTGCTCAGGCTACCCTGCTCACCACAGATCCATCCAGCAGCTTCTGTGCCACAGCAAACACAAATGCACTGAGATTCAACAGAGCCAAAATCCAGCAACAACAACAAGGCACTGCAGCATAATGATTTCAAAATGGAAAACTACAGGAAAATGAGGAAGTTTGTCAGAGATTAATTAAAAGGAATGGCTAAAAGAATAAAATAGTTGTAAGCAGTAAAGGAGACTTTTATTAGGACCTCTCGGTGGAGACTGAAAACAAATGCACATCACGTATCAAGAATATTGTGGGAAGCACAAAGAAAGCCAGTGCTAAAACAGAAGGGGAAGGGACTTCACTTAAAAACAAGAATGAATCCTTTAAGCACTGGAAGCTTTGTCCAAATACAGAAACTAGACCAGGTCAATAAATTAATATGAATTAATCTAGTTTGACCTTAGAGCAGTTTGCAAGTTCACCAGTTTTAAGACCAGTTTCTGTTTTATAGCAATATGATCTCAGAGCGGTTTGCAGGCTCACCGGTTTTAAGAAGTTTCTGATTTATAGCAATATATTTACACCTGCAGGTTTCAGTTACAAAATACAGAAAGACTTTTCAGTTACAACCTACTCCTCCGTTTCATTCAAGAGGACAAAGGACTTTAACTCTGTTCCTCTTGTAAGGTCACTTTTGTATTTCTGACGATCTAGGTTTTGCCTAGGATTGACACTCACGAGAATGGAGATAGGCCCAGGTTAAGGGGTAGGGTGGAGCTGCTTCTCTGTAGATTAACCCTGAAAACTAAGCAAAAGAGGATAAATATCTGCTGAGACATAATTCTTTGTTCTGAGACCACATTTCTGAGGATTAGCATTTCTGTTTTCCTTCCTCTCTTGCCTCTCAAAGAAGCTATCTCCTTCATCCTCCAGATTGCTGGTCCTGATTTTAGGGAAAACTACTTCCAGGGATGAAAGCCAGTGAAAGGGTTAATCCTTAAACGTTAGCACTGGGCACTGGAGCTGGTGCCTCCTGGCAATGAACAGAGCAGTTCACCCTCTATTGTTTCAAACCAATTGCAGAAAAAAGGGAAATGACTGGACTCAGCATCCAAACAAAATCCCAGGGCACCTCCACATCCAGAGCAATGGGCGAGTTCACTTCAGTCCTTAAAAGTGAAAACATATGCCACTAAATAATTTGGGGATGAAAAAAGTGAAGTGGGGAAAATCATATTGAAGTATTTGAGGAGAATTTAAGCCTCACTTGAACTGCAGTGATCAAACCAGGGAAGTGGAATTTAAAAGTTCATAAACCGAGATTTTTACCCCTTACAAAAGAGAGTCCCTGCACTTCCCCCTTTTTAAAACAGGTTCAGGGTATTGTGATTGATCCTCATCCCCAGGACTACATGTGAAGCTCTTGTGTAAGAGGATCAGAGAAGCACCTGAGATGAAGTTGAAACACAAGAGAAAAAACTGGGTAGAGCATCCAGAAATATTTCCACGTAGTTGTCTTGAGGAACTGTAGAAAAGTCTCCCCAAAGGAAGGGAGAGGGAACCTTTTACCTTATGCAAATATCCAACGTGATGTAAATATCCAATGTTATAATTTTCTAGTATACAAAACACCATGCCAGATCTCCCAGTGCTCTGGAGAAGTGACTGTGATAGGCTGCAAGCAACGTGACCCAGTATTTTTAGGTTTGGGAATCCAAATTCAGTTCAAAAACTGAAAACTGTTAGCATTTTGTAATTCAAGTCTTCTAGGACAGTCTGAAGAATACCTTTGCACTGCCCCAAATAACTCACTCCCCTCAGCTCCTGCCTACGTCAGTATGGGAGTAGCATGACTACCTAGGGCCAGGGAAGAGAATTAGAGAAACAAGGATCCTGTCCTTGGCTAAGGCACAGACCTGGTTATTACTCTTACTACAGGAGTGCTGCACTGGCTAACATTGTCTTAAGCGACTGCTAGACTGACATTTTGGTAGTGTGGCATATCTAAAGCTCTCTGGAAGCCAAGCAGAAGACAACCAGAAAAACTCTTAATTTTTCCAGAAGTCCACAAGAGCCAAAAAGAGTCAGTTTGGTCAGAGGACTGATCTATACACCTGTGATAAACCTGTGATACTGCATCACAGGTGCATTTGTGCATTTGAAAACAGAGATGAAATACGTGAGAGCACATCTCTCAAAAGTAATGGAGGCAGGAACAGAGTTGAAAATAAATGTATTCTAAAGAAAGGTGCTTCAACTGTGTTCCCTAAGGACTCCTCACATGAAGAAGAGAGCTGGGAAATAATCAAATAATGTGTACAGAGAGTGTGTTAAAAAATCAGCTTCCTTATTTTACACCCTAAGACTTCAGCTCAAAAAGGTGGGGGTACATAAAGAAATTTGGAGAGAAGGAATATTGAAAAGAAAACTGTAAAACATCCCAAGAAGGCATTGGGTAATCTGCACCTCCAACTGGGTGGGAGGGAACACAAATCGCGGGGAATGAAGGGATGTCCCTGTGTCTTCGGATGCAACAGAAACATCATTTCTGATGAAAACACATGCAAAAGCAAGACTGCCTTCCAAGCAAATGGAGTGTGATTACCAGGCAGGAAATTGGGGATTTCTGTGCTGGCTTTGCTTCCATAGTGCAGCAAGTGACCAGGCAGCACTAACAACCACAGATATATGCAGTTATTCTGATCAGGGCATAGAATCTTGTACCTCACAGTGAGAGCCCCCTTGGCGATAACAGCTTGGAAAAAAGCTGAGGTCAAACTTCAGTGTTGCAGCCACTGCAACACAACTTGTCTAAAGCACACAGGTGTTTAGAGGAAAAGCAATCAGCTCATGGGAAGGAGACAAAAAGAAGGATCACCAATGCAAAATCTCACTCTTCTAAGGTGGTATTTCTCAACCAAGCAGGCAGAGAAATTGCTCAGTGTGACATTTGCAAGGACTGAGCTGGGGGAATGGGGTGGAAATAAGGAAAGAGAAAATTGAGGGAAAGCACTAAGAAAATCTTCCTGATAGCAAACCACCCTGCAGAACTGGCTCAAGGCAAATGCTGCAAATTTGCTCACTGGGAGGTATGTAAAACCAGAACAGAGAAAACAGAGGTAAAAATGTATCACAAAAGAATCCTGCAGAGCCCCACAGGAGAGAGCCTGGATGATCTCATATGTCTCCTGTCTCTGATCTCTGATTAGCAAACGTCTCATTTATCTGTACTCGCATCTCGCCTGCCCTTCAAAGAACTATTGCTGACAATCTCATCTTGCTGACAAGCAGACAACTTTAAAACTGCAAACCTATTTCAGAGAAAAGCATGCCTAGGTTGAACATCCTGGAGTAGACACCAAAAGGGGTCTGACAGAGAAAGGCAGGGGAAACAATGCAGGGGCTTTGACCCATTGACTTTTGTCACATTAAAATACTCATGGTAGTTTCAGAACCAAAGCAACAGCACCATGAGCAGGCACTCAAAATCAGTGGCCAGCTCAGAGTGTAGGTCTTGCTTTTGCTCAACATAAAATCTTTTGTTGACCTACCTCATGCAGCTTCCTTACCTCTTTTTTCCCGTGCAGCACTGGTCCTAGGCAGAGGAGTCTGAGAGAATCTGACAGACGTATAAACTATTTCCTCAGTCTCTTCAGCTGCAGAAGTTTCTGATCTGCTTCCCTCCATGCCAAAGCAAAGAGTGCGTATGACAAGATGTTTCGATCGGGCTGTTGAGTAACAGGGCTCAACGCCCGTGAAACAGGAAACCTGAGGCTACATTCAGAAGACAAGATGTGAATATGCAGCCTCTGTCTTCAGCTGCTCAAAGTAACTCAATCTACAACAGACTGGAGAGCAGTGGAAGTGCAACAACTTCAATTTCCTAACCTGATGAGGGATGTCTTACAAACAGTCATTAGTGGGAAGAGGTGATTAATCACAAAGTTCATGGGTATTGATTCAAAGAAATCACTTCACAGTACACCAATCCAAGAGGCTGTGATGACACTGATGCAGTGCCTGTGACAATGTGTGGTGCTCCGCAGAGCTCCTTCGCAGGACAGAAGCAGGCTGATAGCAAGATCACAAGATGAAAAAGGTGAATAGCAAGAGTACAAGGTGAAAAGCGGCATAAGCAACAGCTACAGCAAACTGGCAGCCCAACTGCTGTCAAAAAGGAAGCAAAGTTGGACAGCATGGGTTTCAGAAGGAAGCCTTGTGAGCTTTGGACACTTCTACTGGGAACTCTGTCTACACCCAACACCCAGTGTGAATGTGCTCGAGGCACTCGAGGCAGGCACTGAGAGCTGGCATCCCTCCAGACCATGCGAGTCAGCATCTCAACAGCATCAGTACAAGAGAGACATGGACATACTGGAGTCTAGCAAAGGGCAACAAAGACGGTAACAGGACTGGAGCATTAATCCTATGAGGAAAGGCTGAGAGAGCTGGGAC